ACCATGACCATCAATGCTGTCGTCGTCGTCGTCGTCATGACTGACATTCCCACTGTCATCCTCCTCGTCATTATCATCACCACCAACACCGCCATCGCCATCATCACATTTATCATTTTCATCATCACCATCATCATCACTACAAGCATGAGCTTCTTAACCGTCATAGTCGCGACCATCATCATAATCATCGTCATCATCATCGTCGTCATCATCATCATCATCGTCGACGTCATCGTCATTGTCATTGTCATCAGCATCATCATCATCATCACCATCATCGTTACCATCATCCTCATCGTCATCATGGTGGCTATCAGCCCTGCGGTACGAACATCGGGCATCCCCGGATAGTCGAGCAAATCAAAGGGTTGTAAGTGCTCCAGCGGCAGCCCGTCGTCCTGTGAACAGGCCAGCTCGGCATCGTAAAGCCCGGCCTGGAATCACGCGCTGGGTGTCACTCAGACTCTAAACTCAGGCATCCCGGACAGGTTCGTTTCGCGACCAGTTTGATCACGATCACGATGGAAGCTGATGATGATGATGATGATGATGATGATGGCGATGATGAGAGGGAGGAGGAGGACGACGACGAGGAGGATGATGATGATGCTGCTGATGATGATGATGATGATGATGGTGATGATGGTGTTGATGATGATGATTATGATGGTGATGGTGATGATGATGATGATGATGATGATGATGATGATGGTGGATGATGCGGCACCGCGACGACGACATCACAAATCACGACGACGGCAACGACAATGACAATGACAACACCACCACCACCACCCTCACCACCGCCACCACCGCCACCACCGCCACCACCACCCATCAGCCCCACCACCAACGCCACCGCCACCATCTTACTAAGTCGACTCTTACTAATGCCTCTATTTCGCCTCGGCTTTGGCAGAAGTGGTCAGAGGATGTCAGAGGTTACCTCTTCCTCCGCGAGAACCTGTTTCCCCGTCTCCCGCCTCCCGCTGGCCCTGCCCCTGGCCCTGCCCGTTACGACGCCGAGTCCTGACGCCTTAAGCCTCGCTCAAGTCCATCCAAATCGCCTGAAGCTTGCTGGGGGCCCAGCGCAAGTGCTGCTGCCCACAGCTTTTTCGTCCCGCCATTCTTCTCGAATGGCTCGCAGGTCCTTAAACGGGCAGAAGAGGCTGGTTTTGGGCGCTTGGGGCTTAGGGTCGAGACTTCGACTTCTGCGGATGTGATAACTACAATGTAAGCGTCAAACTGACATAAGAATAAACCACAAAACTGAAGGTGGTTGAGCAGAACCTTTGACTGCAAGCATACAGCTTTCAGAATGCCTTGTGTGCACACCGTGCCTCCCGAATGATGTTGCAGTCTGCTGGCTCCACCTGTGAGGGGCTGGGGGCTGGGGGCTGGGGGCTGGGGGCTGGGGGCACCGGTCCAAGGTTGCTCGACCACGGTGCAACGTAGGATGAACACGCTCGAAATGTCCGGTTCGGCGAAAGCTTCCAACAGCGCAATTCACGCGTGGACCTTGCATTCTTGATTGCACCAGCTGCATGCGTCAGGATGCCGATTCACCCTAAGCCCCGAACGCTGAAGGCCAGACCGAAAAGCTCAAGCCCCAAGCCCTTCCCGGCCACACCTCCAGCGCAGTGCCGTTGGCCAGGATAATCTGCGCAGACTTCGCGGGTGTTATGGGTAAATCCCGCCGTCCTCAAAACCACTACAGCAATACCTCCGAGGACAAAAACAAACTCAGATATTAAAGTCAAGCCCCCGAAGCAAAGCCACAGAGGAGCCCTGAAGATGAAACTCTCGAGCCGTACGAGGGTGCTTGGAGCTTCGTCCCGTCCCAGGGTTGGCAGATTGTGTCCTTTATGGGCATTCGTCTGGTTGTCTTAGAGTACTCGATGTTTCTGAACTTCAAAGCCCTGCACCTCGAGCTGCTTTCCACTCCGCCTTGCGGTCCCTCGGAAGCCGCTGTAAGGGCCTGCAAGCTCGTGGGTCAAACATCTCGACATTGCATACCTATTCCACGTGTCGCCGGCCTCATCATCGAAAAACAGCTTGGCCCCACTGGACTACCATATCATGGTGCTCCGACAAGCCAAATGCATATAAGCAGATTACAGATTACCAGTACGATGAGTGAAGCAAGCAACCCTTACGGAAGCCCTTTTCCTAACCCTTCTCGTAGCCCTTATGGTGATGACTTGCCCTTGGAGCCCCAGCTCCGGAGCCTCGGACAACCTCAACGCTCATGCCCGCGGTCACCTTTCCTCTATCCTTCCCAGTGAAAGGGCTGTCCAGGGCATAGCTTGCGAGGTTGAGGGTTCAAGTCTCGGGCTTTGGCAAAGAAAAGGCCAGGCCTAGTGGCGGCAAGCATGACGATGCAAGAGTGGGAAGGCAAAGACAAATTAGGACTATATCAGACCATGAGGAAGAGCATGAGGACTGCTGCCAGGCAAAACAAACTCTGTGCTGATAATTCTGCCGAACAAGACTGCGATGATGATCGTGACGATGATGATGATGATGATGGTGATGGTGATGATGATGATGATGATGATGATGATGCGGAGGAGGAGGAGGAGGAGGAGGAGGAGGAGATGATGATGATGATCTCGTACCACTGCTACGGAGACTTACTACACGGACTGATATCTAAAATGTTACGGGCTCTTGCTCAAATTGCACGGATCCTCGCACAAGTCGTCTACCACGTTCTGACCCGAGAAAAAGAAGTCCACGTTGGACCTGCCGTCACCTGTGCAAAGAAAACTAAAAAGAGCTCCTCACCCGGCATTCTCAAAAATCGAGGGATTTGAATAAAAACACTAAAAACTATGGGATCCTTCGTGTAAGCACCCGTACACCCAATATAGGAAACGGCATTCAGGGCTTCCGCAGATGGTAAAGTGACTTCAGCTGTGGGCAGGCCCATGCTCCAAATGGTTGCAGCAATCAGCGCCGAAGCGATTTCCTCTCGAAATGTTTTCCTGGAGCCTCTGATATGCCTATTTTCTGAAGCCGGCGTGAATGTGCTGTAATGCACTGTAATGCGCATCGCGTCTGAAGTTGCAAACGTTGGGACGATCTAGTTTATGAGAGCTGCGCAACTTCAACGAGTTGACGAGTTCTTGACAGGGCTCCTGGGCTTTCACACCGGGGACAGTTCCAAAATCTCTATGAAGCCTCCCCAAATACCTATGGTAGAAAACCTTTACAGCCCGCGAACCCTAAAACCCAAGCCTCCAGCCCCCAATGCCCCTTGAAGCTGGGCCCCCAGGCCCTTGGTGAGGACAGACACCTGAGAGGCTCTAGGACCCTAAGATCTGCCGGCTTCGTGTTGAGGATTGTAGATTTGCTGTTAAGCTAACCGTAGGGTTGAGACTCAGACAGAGACATAGGGAGACTAGGAGAGTACCAGAGTCAGATAGAGTCAGGTTGGGGTTCAGGAGTTTTGGGTTCAAGGTCCAGGATTGGAGCTCTGGGGATCAGGATTTGGGTTTCCTAGGGCCTCGTGCTTGTAGCGCCCAGAGCTTTGGGTTTGAACCGTGAAGTTTATTGTTGTAAGCTTGGGGCTTGCTTCCGAAGCACTGAGATCTGGGTTCCGGACGTCTTGCACCTTTAGGATCTGCGAGTTTCGCAACTGGGGCTGCGGCCGAGAAAGACTCGGCAGATTCGAAGAAAAAAGTCGCTGCATGCCGCTTTTCCTCGAGACCTCTGCTGGGTGCCAAGTGCACACGAGCTCTCTTTCGGCGTTGGTCGCGAAGCAACGTTGCACATAAATTCCCCGTTACAACAATGGAGTCTGTACACACACGCCGGCAAAAAAACACAACCTCTTGAAACAAAAACACGTCAAACTTTCAACGCAGAACGGCCTCTGAGATCTTTGGGCGTCAGCGCCTCCATTCTTGGAGGTGCCAGGAGCAGGACGTCTTGTCCCTGGCAGTGGGAGCGGGGATTCCGGATCTGTTAAGCTTGGGGCCTTTGTGGTTTCCAAGCTCTCAAATACTCAGGCTTTCGGAATTTAGGTACAAAAACCATAGGATTACGGCATAAGAAAGTACAACCAGGGTTGCTTTAGCTCAATCATGCCGAACCATGATAATGATGATGAGGATGCGGACCAACGCCGTCAGGCCCCCCTCGGCTTAAACCTGAGGAACAGCCCTAAAACTCCTTAGTGCTCTTGAACCTGAAGGCAGGCTGAGCGAGGGACGCCGTGACGCCTGTGGCGCTCGAACTTCGCATCTAGATCCTCAGACAGGCTGAATTAGTTGTTCGTAGGGCACTTGGGGAAGTCGAGCTCTAGATGGTGGAGTTTGTGACGTGCAGCACGCCTGGGTGTGGGATGTCGCATACCACTGCACGTTTCGCTGCTGCCCGGGCCCAAGAAACACAGAGAGAGAGAAAGACAAAGGGAGAGAGAGGGAAACTGAGAGCGTGTCTCCCTTCATGTCTATGTTTGTCTCGCCGTGTGCCAGGTGAATCGGTGAATCTCTCAGGATCAAAAGGTCGACATCTGGGATTGGCTTCCGGCAGAAGACCTCGTAGATGAGTTTTTGGTGGCAAATCTCGCGCTCGTGGATTAGGAAAGGGCGAGGGCTGCGCAAGTGGATATCGTGATGAAAGCATCCGATAGAGGTCATTCTGTCCTCCGGAGCTTCGTCGAAGGTGGAAGCCGGCTTTATTAGCCGGGTGAAAGCCAAATCGGCCGTTTGGCTTTCCGGCTGCGAGGGAGGGCCATCAAGTCTGCACGGCATCATGTTCATTCATGCTGGCTCATGAAAGCATACGAAGGTGGTCATTTTCTCCTCCGGAGCTTCGTCGCAGGTGGAAGCCCTATGTATTAGCCGGATTAAAGCCAACATCGGCCGTTTGGCTCCTCCTCCGCCACATCTCCCGGCCATCAGGGACGAAGAGCCTGCCAGGCTTCGGAGAAATGAACAGGAACTTCAACAGGGCCTCTGCCGCAACAACATTGGTTCTGCTTTCACGGCTCAACACTGGGAGCACCGGGGCGATACAACCCAGCATCTAGCACAATCGTGGCGGCAAGCAGCACGCAGAGTCTGCGTGGAAAAGGCTCGGCAAGGACAGGCACGCCTCGTTTGGGGCACCTTCCCCGCCAGCGATTCGGTAGCTTTCCGCCACGCAGTGCCAAACCCGCAAAAGTCAGCGATGAAGGCTCGACCTCGACCAGTAAGCTCGATCCATTCAGGCACGCGCCAAATCCTGGACCTCAACCGGTTGCTGACCAACTAATGCAAACCTGCGGCCTCGCGCTGCTTCACTAGCCTGCTGCAGAACTCCGACAGCACGCCGTCCTTCTCGACTTTACTGATAGAAGGAGCTCGCAGGCGGTTCCATGCTAACGTAGGAAGCTCCAACTCGGAAGACCTCCTCAACAGTCCCTTGCGCCTCCTCCAGTGCTCACTGGCGCTTGGCCGTAACCATGGCGGGCTTCAGCTACGGCCTTGGCTAACCCTCGACACCCTGAAAACAAGTCAACCCAACCCAGACCCGCGGAAAGAGCAGCTTGGAGAGAAGAGAAGCGGTCAGAGTAGACGAACTGAGAGAGAGCCTCGCGGTTCACAGGGACACCAGACCTTGGCGGCACAAATGGATTGAAACGACGTGACTGATCCTTGCGGGAAGTCGAGCACCGAGCGGACCGGAGAACTGCGCCCTACAACTTGCTGCGGGACCTGACCTGAATTTTTCTGCTCATCCTGGCAAGAAGTCGAGCTCCTCCAGGACTCTGACATCAGCAAGCTCCAGCAAGCAATCGAGCACCGCTTGAGTTCGAAGAGCACGCCAGTTTTCCGACCTCCTGTTGCCTTAGTTCTCTCCTGATCCTTGTGGAAAGTTGAGCTCGCCCCGACAACGGCGAAGTCGCGCTTAGCAGCGTCCCTGCTCAGGCGTTAACTTTTCAAGGCCTCGGGCGCAAGAGGCCACTGCAACATAGTGACTCCCTTCCCAGGCATCGGTAACACGAAGCAAGCGTGGGTTGAACAGCACTGGCCAATCACACAAGAAAAGCACTCTGGCCGCTGAAGGCTGGCCTCTCCTCCCCCTCCTCCTCCTCCTCCCTCTCCTTCCTCTCCCTCTCCTCCTCTCCTCCCTCTCCTCCCTCCCCCCCTCTCCTCCCTCTCCTCCCTCTCCTCCCTCTCCTCCCTCTCCTCCCTCTCCTCCTCCTCCTTTTCCTCTTCCTTTGCCAGATCGCAATCCACCCACAAGCCGCTCCTCGAAACTTGCTCAAAGCTCGGTTCGGTAAAGGAGTTCAAAGTCGCTTCTCAGCACTACCCGGCGGCCTTCAAGGGCTCGCCTGACAAGCAACTCCTCAACTGCAGCAACAACCTTCAGCCTAGAGTCGGGGTACGGGGCCGGCAGCTCCGCGACTCCGCGATGCGCCCACCACATTTGGCCAGGCAGGCGTCAACTTTCTCGAATCTCTCATGCAAGGGGGCTTCCAGCCATTCAGGAGGCTACTCGCACGGTTTTCTATCAGGCGTACGTCTCGCGAGTCATCCGAAGGGTTGAAATGGGTCTTAAGGCACCCGAACGGGCCTAACATCACACCGCAAATGGCTGCCCAGATACAACTCGGCACTCAAGGCCGGGCTGCTTCGTCCTTTCGTCAAGGCAGCAATTGCAACCTGGCTGTCCACAAGGTGAGGTAACCGGAGCCTTCCATCTTTGAGCTCTCCCAAATTTATGTGCCTCCTCCTTTTTGCCTGTCTCACTTGTCCGAACTGGCGAAAGGGCAGGCACTTGCTTACGGTCTGCCAGAGCTGGTGGGAAGCGTAAGGCATCAATGCATCCGCGCAGGCAATTGCTCATCTTTCCTCGCAACCTGAGGAGCGCCGCACTTGGCTGAAGCTGCCGGCTCCAAAGAATCGTTTGCAGCAAACCACGCGGGCGCAACTCACTCGCGACACCTAGTCGGACTGCAGCACAAACGGCAGCTTCAGCACTGGACGACGCGTCACTTGCAACAATCACAGGGCTCCTGCGGCACGGAAGTCGAAGCAAGCCTATGGCAAAAATACACAGACTGCCATCTGCCAGCAACTCCCTTCCGCCCAGGGCTGAGTCTGAGCACAGTCTTAGGCAAAGGCTCCGCGAGGTTCGGAACAAATGCATTCTGAAAGGTGAGATGGGGCTGGCAGACAGCAGGGGCATGGACCAAGATCTCTTCGCCCAACCCCGTTAGCGCGCTTTTGGCATTCTCTCCGGAGTGCCTGGCCAGTCGCCAAGGCAAACAGGACGGCCTTGGCCCATGCCACTGCCCTGCATAAGCATGGCTACAAGAGGGAACGGCACGAGGTACCGGGCAAGTACTCTGAACGCCATTGGTTTGGCTCTTTGTTGGCTGTTACATGGGCCAACCTGGAACTGATTCGCTGACTCTCGGCACTTATTTTGGGTGAGAAGCAGCGGGCTATATTGCGGACGCTGGGACAGTACAGATGTCTGGAATGCTCAGTTGGACCTGCCGACGGGAAGGAGTGCAGGTTGAAACCTTCGGAGAGGTTTTGAAAGCTTTGGAGAGCACGTCCCCTACCGAGGCTCAGCGATAATGCCCGCGGCCACGCGAACTGCTTCAACACTGCGATACGTCCTGTCGCGAACTTCTTCGAGCTAGGACAATCAACAGCTTGAAGATCACACCGTTGCGAGACGACGCCTTGGCAAGGTCTTGCTTGCCGGAAATGGTGCCCTTGGCTTGACACGCGGGCTCCTTTTCGTGAATAAGAAGCTTTCTGCCCAGCTGACAGCAATCTCCGCCCCGGAGATCGCGTTGCCGTCCCTGAAGCCGCTCGGACCTAATGGCCATATGTGGCCAAATAACACTGGCCCAGGACACAGGTGGGCTTGGTGCACCTACAACACTATGTGACCAACATTCACTGGCATGGTCTCGGTTCTCCATCCAACATGAGTGGCATCGCCCCAAAATCCCAGCTTAGACGCCGTGGTGATGAGTTTGGCACCGTAGAAGATGACTCCGAGCAGTTTTGGCACCATATCAACGTGGGAACTGCCACCAAAAGTTGCCCATCAACCTCGGCCACTCCAAGCAGGGAGCATGACTGCACAGCACTTCCAGCTTCCAATCCGGCGACGGACTGAGCTAGTAGTTCCTAACATCGTCCGCTTCGTCGTCCAAGCCGAGCTGGTCCTCCTCCGGCTCCGGCGGCGGCTGAGGTAGCCGACTCAACAACCTCAATGCTTTCGGAGGCCTCCCGTGCAGTTAAAGCACGCAGATCAGACACCACAGCTCAAAGCCTCAGAAGCTCACCCTCATGAGTTTAAGGTCTCGGGATGCTACGACATGTAGACATAGTCCCTTGTCCTTATTCGGAACCTTTGATGGAGGGGCCTTCGTATGAGTGAAGGAAGGAGAAATTCATCCAGTTGAACCGACACAGACCGTCGAAGGCTGAAATGCATTTGCGGCCAGAAAAATTCCTGCAAGATGTTCGCCTGATCAAGCGAAGAGATCCACGGCGAGGTTAGGAGATGAGCCCGCGTGATGCCGCGCAGGGTTGATGGCGCACAAAAGGCAACTGCTTTTGGCGGCTGCGGGAACTACGGGAGGCTTGAGCGGTCTTCGGCTCGGGGTTTCCTTTGTCAGGCCAGGAGGGGTTGGTGCCGGCTTGTGGACTCACTGCGCCTCCGGAGATGCGTCCACCCAACCTTAAACCCTAGAAATTCAAAACTACTGCCTGTGTTAGGACCTATGAACAAGACTAGGTTTCCGCTGGGCAAAGTTAAGCCTCAAACTTCCAAGACCCTAGCAGTAACACCCTAACAGCCTGCACTGCTAAATCCGGGAGTGAAGCACCGAAATCCCCCTGAAATCTAACCAGTGCCAGGCACGTGATGTCCACCACATAAAATCCCATCCGGCACTATCCTACGCCACAGCCAAATTGCAGTCTATGCGCCCGTAGCAACCACGAAACGTGGCCCAAATCCAGAGATGGTTGCCTATGCTTGGCCTATCCACAAGCAAGCAAGCTGAAGCTGCTGACGCGAGCTCGGTTCCGCGTACCCCTCCAGGGTCTGGAGCAGAGAGAGAGAGAGAGAAAGAGAGAGAGAGAAAGAGAGAGAGAGAGAGTCAGAGAGGGAGAGAGAGAGAGAGAGNNAGAGAGAGAGAGAAGGAAGAGAGAGAGAAGAGAGAGAGAAGAGAGAGGGAGAGAGAGAAACAAAGACAGAGATCGTGCCCACACTTTTCGCGGGTCAGAACCACGACAAGTTCCAGGGCAGGGAGGAGCGGAAGCTTTGAACCAGCTAAGAGTCATGTACTCTCATAGAATCATGGTATGAGTTGCTACAGTATTCATCAAAAAAGTTAACCACCATAGCCATGGCAGCAGAGATCGCCACCGGCAAGGAGTACTGAACTCACAACTCGAGCCCAAAGCCTTCCTGGTGCAGCCCTCACAAGATGCGTTGAAAGCATGGAGAATCTCCGTTCATCCAGCCGGATCAAGAACCTCACAACCGCAAGGCTTAACCAAAGGCCTCCATTCCTAGATCCTCGCCCCAAACCTTAAACCCGTAACCCTAAATCCTCACGGGGCCAGGGCCCAGCAAAGCCGGGTAAAGTTGGAGACACGGACCTCGAGGAGGGGGGCGGCAGGGCATGGGTTCAGTGCTTGGGGTTTGGAAGGGTCTCGAAGGGCTTGCAGGGGGATTGAAAGCTCCTGTTCGACAACTTGTGTTCTGGCACTCGTTGTAATTATTGCTGACACGGGCCCAGTCTGAGTCCATAGAGCCATAGAGTTGAGGGCAATGGTTGGGATGCGCATCCCGCTCAAACATGTTGATATTTTTCAAAATCACAGCCTTGAAGTGTAGATGGAGCCATGCCTGGCCCAGGGCCGGCCTGAAAGCCTCTGGGTTAGATCCTGAAACCTGGACCACGAACATCCACTGAACGCTGAGATTTTAGGGGTTCCTCCACCCCGGGCTCGGCTGAGACCCACACCCGTTCTCCGGAAGAGGTTAAAAAGACGGTGAAAAAGAACCTGTTCCCAAGAGGCAGCAGTACAAGTGGCGCTCTACGGCGCTCAGGTGCCGAGCCGGATCCCCACGAGCCTTTGCACCTGCGTGCGAGCTCCGCCTCCGGCAGCTCGGAAGCTGAAGTTGAAGTGCGCCTGCCACGCCCCAAACCCGAATCCGCAACGAAGACCTAAACGACGGGTTGAGTGCCGAGGGTGTACACTTACTTCTGCCTTCTCAGCCCTTGCCCCTCACACCGTTCTAAGCTCAACTCTCCTGTGTCTTGCTCGCTAAACTCCAAGCGCAAATGGGAAGCCTAGCCGCCTGGCCGACTGAGCTCTCAATGCTCCAACATCATGGGACTTTCTTAGGGATCTTGACACATTCCCGGTCTGGGTGCCGGTCTGGACAGTAACACCACCGCTACTCTCTGGGACACGAGCCTCTCGCGAGGGTCGGAGGCTAATGCGCCCCAGGTGCCCCTGGCAGAGGGCCAGGGCCAGGGCCCAGCTGGGACAACGACACAAAACACACGCCAGCGCCAAAAACTTTGGGAGTTCTGGGTGCAGAGCCGCTTCGCTTTCTGTCAGCTTTGAAACTTCTAGGACCTGGAGCAGTGCTCCCATCTCAGCACGTCTGAAACTATCCTACGTCACCTGATCCTAAAACCCTCCCGCACCCAGCACGAGCCGCAAAAAATGGCCGCTCTAAACTTTCCCAGCAAGTTTAGCACGCGCTACCAGTCTTGCAAGACCTCTGCAGGACGACTATGCAAGCCTTCCATGAGCAGCCAAGCTTTAGGCAGGGACGGCACCAGACAGAAAGAGCTGGAGAAACATGATAGAACAACGTCTGTGCAGGCTTCACAGGACGTCTTACCGACTCAAAGAGTCGGGTCTGAGAAATGGCATCAGAATTCCAAGCTTCCCACACTCACAGCCCGGGAAATTAGTAGCCCCAATGCTTACAATCGCTGACAAAAGAACCGTCTACGAGACGTACAAGCCCAGCCCGCACTACGCTGAAGTCATAGCGACAGGTTCAGCCCTCAACCCTGCATCGGGCCTTCAATCGCGAATCCCAAACCCAGTCCCTTAATGCCCCTTACTGCGATTAGGCCTCGAGGCCGTTGTCTCGGGCGGTCTGGGCTTGGTAGCCGTGGCTGGCCTGCACGACCTGGATTTCAACAGCCACGGTTGCAAGAACAACCGCAAAGCTGAATGTTGTCACAAGTCTTCATCAACGTCACAGGACACGGGTATGATCATGGAATGAAGCCGTTACCCTCGACACGATGGCAACATGCCTGCAGGAGACGCAGGGGCCCTCGGTTCTTGGGGGAAAAAGGGGACCTGACTACTTTACTGATACAAGCACAGAGAATCCTGGTGGCACTTACAATATCCTGCCCGAAGTTCCGAAGTTCGAGATTGTTTCCTGATTTGCTGGCTTCCGGTGGCATGTTCTAGGCTTGGACCGTCCTCTCAAGCTTTCGGTGAGATCCGCTGCATTGAGAGCGAACCGGATACAGACGCTGAGCCTCTGAATCCACTCCCGGCTCAGCCCGACCAGTCACACAAAGCTGACTCCGGCGAGTTTTGACTTTCGGGTGTCAGGGCTCCCTGGATTGCGCTTGCGTCTCACGATATCACCAGGACAGCCTCGAGACACTCGCGACTCATCATCCACAACTCTGGGCACCCCTGCCAGATCGACGTGTCCTTCACACAAGGCAGCGGATGAGAATGCTTTTTAGGATGCCATCGACTTCTTCGAGGTAGGGGGCTTTCGATCTCTATCTAACACTGCCTTGGTTAAGATGGCATTCATGCCCCAGTCGGCTACCTCTGCCACGTCCATGTCAAGACCATACTTCGGGTAGAGACAAGAGCTTTTTCAGCTGGGGACCCAAAACTTTCGAAGGCTACGCCCTGCTAAACCCCAAAACTTTCACAAAGAACACAAACTCCTTCCAAAAGAGCCCTCAAAAGGCTACAGCCCCCAAAGCCAGAAAGCCCTCCTGGCCTTCGGCGCCCCAGAGGACGGAGCCGTAAACCAGCTCTGGGGCCCCCAAGTCCGGGCCTCGGCCCCCCAAATTCGAGCGCCTGAGCAAGCTTAAGAGGGACGTTTGAACGCAACAGCAGAGCTCTGAAAGGATTTCAGGATGTTGGGGGTTTCGGGTTCAGGGTGCAAGGTAGGAGGGTTTTCGAATTAAGGTGTCGGGTTGAAATTAAAAGCTTTTTGAGTTTCAGGATCTCACGAACCAATCGCATACGGTCATGCTCTACACCGCAGGCCTCACGTCTCTGAAGTCCAGGACCTGCAGGACTGCAGGTTCAGGCCACTGCTTGAAAGTTCACAACCAGAGAGTCTAGCCGGGGATGTAGATAAGAGTGAAGAAGAGGAAGAGGGGACATGCACCAGGAAAGTGCCTGAAAGCATTGCTGAACTTGGGGTCGTTCGAGATGAAGCCAAACCAACATGCCAGCTAACGTCGCTACCCTCGGAAAGGAGTGTGGCCTGGCCCGTCTCGTCGCCGCGATGCAAGGCACCTCCCGAGGCCGGTTTTCGGTGTTGAGGGGTATGGGTCTAAGCTGAACCTCTGTAAAGGCAAGGTTTGGGCCCAGGGGAGCTTAGGCCTCTAAGGCTTCTAAGTGCCACTGAGCATGAAACGTCAACCCACCCACATTTCGAGCGAAAGCGGGACAGTCAACGGTGGTACCGTGGGCCTTGTGGGAGGGAAGACAGACAGTTCGGAATTGCCTCCACCCATACGAGACGCGAACTGAGAAGTCCACGAAACACCCAAATGTCTGAACCCGACACAAGTCTCAATGCATGTACTTCTGACCCCTTCAAAGTCCGAGCTCTGATGCCCCGAAAGCCACCAGGCCGGAAACCTCAAATCCCGACCGAAGCCTCCCAACGCTGGAAAGGGCCCGGGGTTTTGAAAGGCCCTGAACTATTCACTCCCGGCACCGAAAGCCACGGAAGCCACCAGGATCAGAAGCGTCGCTACGCCGACCTGGGACTGCAAATAAGGAAGCCTAAGGAACCTCTCTCATGCATCCATGGAGCACTGCTGCATGTAATGTCTTTTTTGGGTCTCGAAACGAAATACAATGTTACAAATGTATGTTTACTTTGCTGCAAGCTTGCAAGCAAGGTGGCAGGTAGGTTATTGTAGTTCAATGCGCTGTTTGCGGTTTAATGGTGCGGGTCATAGGTTTGCTGGTGTAGGGTTTCGGGTGCCTCCAACCCTCAACCACCCGAAGCGGAGAAAATACTTTAAGGATTGAAAGACAGGAAGACAGGTTGAAGCAAAAGCAACTTGAAATGGGATGTGGTGTCACTCTCCGAACATATCGGGATTCTTCTGGGATACTGGTACTGTCGATTCTGCAAGCCTCGGCAAATGTTGAAAGCTTGTGGCGCTACTTTGAGGCATCCAAGGAACAGCAAGATCTGGCCTTCTACTCTTTGCTTTCTTGCGCACCGCTCTCGACTAACCCCTCTGCATGAACGTCACATAGCTGCATACGTACCTGTGAACCCTTGGGGGGTAAAAGGTCCTTGTTTCGGGCGGCCGAGCCCCACCATGGTCACTAGCTTACTCCAGACTGAGCGGTGAGCCGCATGCAAAAACGGAAAGACGAATGCTGTTTTTCAATATGTACGCTGAAACTTGTTACAATCATGAAGACCCCTACAGTAGTTGAACTCTTTGGGTAACATTCCGAAACCACAAGAGTCCAAAACCTGAAGCTCCTCAACTTGCCGCGCACGCCGACCCCCGCAACCGCCGAAGGCCAAAAACCCAGCCCGACAACATCCGAGAACCGAAACCGCAAAGCCCTGCCACACTCGAACAAACGGCTGCCGGTCTTGGAGCGGGATTGCGAGACTGGGAGCATCACGGCCACAGCCACGGCCGAGCTGATCGGGCCTGCTAGGATCTCAGCTACGCCCGACGTGCCGTGGTGTTTAGTTTGTAGGGTGGGTTCAGCGAAGTCCGGGAACCAAACCCAAACCAACCCACGACTGAAAGGCGAAGCTACAATCAACTCCACGCAGATTCCGAAAATCAAAACTAGGCTGCAGACTGCAGATTAGAAATGTCATCAAGGATGCAAACTGGCTGTAGCCGGCACTAGTCGGGTCAAAACCAAAAGACAACCTGTCGAGCTGGATTGTTGCGCGCTGAAGATTCCAAACCTCTGCATTTACGAGCTGAGAACGACAAAGCATGCCATTCTCCCAACGCTCAAGGACCCCATACGAAAACGGCCTTTGCAACCAGCTGGGCCCGATGTGGGCTCATCGCCGGCCGTTCCTTACGGGAAATGGAAGGGTAAAGGCACCAACCAGCTTCTGGAGGCGGGACAAACCGGCAATGCTTTGAAACGGACACGAAACATTCCCCATGGTGCATAGTTGAAGCACTTTGTTTTGGTGTCTTTCCAAAAATGCGCCGGGAATCCCCATGATTGGATAACCGATAGAGAAATCCTGCCAATCCTGCAAACTGCCTCCCTTGCGGCTGCCTGCGGCAGGTCGTGCACCGACGCTGGCCATGGCGGCATGCACACAATCATGGAACAGTTGGAAATTTGACGCAGCTGAGTGACGTAATCGTGCCTGTCCACATGGCGGCACTGGTAGTCAAGGTGCTGTGACAGTGCTGCTTCAGCTGACAAGCTGCAAGCGGCAAGATGATGACAGCGATAACACAACAAGTGCGATTCCATGTTCCCGCTTCGAGCCCTTCTAAGGACAATACTTTTGGAAGTGGCTGATTGTATCCAATCACCGTGAATCTGCGCAGTGAGACGTCGAACAATGCAAAGGCTGTGCCAATAGTGGCGTTCTCACAGCTTTGTCCATAAAGACTATCACTCTGCTCGAACATTAGAAAAAACAACAACAAAACAGGACTTCCACGTGGGATCCAGGCTGAAATCACGCCTTCACAAATGCATGCTCTGTTGACGGCGACTTCTGCACCTTGCGTACTTGTTGCAATGGCGCCAACTGGAGATTGGATTCTCTGAATGCCCGAAACCCCTAGCTCAGCCCCGCCGGACGTTTGCTTGGTCGCCTAGCGGAAAAAAGGTACACTTGATCACGTACTGCAAGTGGCCTGTCTTCTTGCCTGCCCGCAAGTGGAAGAGAAAAATATTTCGAACGTTGTCACCTTATCCGCGACAAATACAGACTCTGTCATCTAAACTATGGAGATGAAACCTCGCAGAGCGCTTTGCATGCCTCACGTCCGAGTTTTATCAATGCAACCTTCATTCGAGAGAAAAAGACGTAGACAAATCGAACAATTACAAGGAAAACGCTCGATGAGAACATCTGCATGCTGACAGAAAGTGCAATGGGAGCGCGCCGGCCTTTGCCATCCCGGCGCGGCCGAAACGATGGGTCGTTTTCGTTCTTTGACTTGACAACATGATCTGTACCTTGCATAATCTGATCTTGCAGGTTGCCTGTACTGCCTCTTAAACAGAAGCGTAGCGAACCAAAACGAACGAACGCCCCCCAATGCGTCTGTGACTGTGTCTTAGTTGGCCGGAGTTCTTTCTTGTGTCAGCTGGCTCTCAAACGGCAATTTGCACCGATCTACTGCGTGCCTACCTGACCAACCACCCTTCCAGTGTGTTCTACTTTCTTTCTAAATTTCCATCTTTCTAGCAAGCTCCTACCCTCCTTCTCATATTTCAACAATTTTGTTTTCGGTTCCTTCTCGCGAAGCGTGTCTTCCGCATACTTGTCTTCTACATTTCGTTTCTAGCTTCCACTTTCTCTCCTCCGTTTTACCTTTTTGACTGTGTTTCGCTTTTGTGCGGGGCATGCTCCATCGCAATTCGACGAAGGGAGCTTGAGAAGGGAGGGTTTCTCGAGGGGGCTTCAAGCCCCTTCCGAAACCCCCCCTTAAAAGGGGAGCGGAGGGGGGGGGGGGGGG